CTGCTTATCCCATGAAAAACAAACACAAAAATAAAAATATCAGAATTTTCATTTCCCCTTAATATTTCATGGAGTTTTAATAAAAGTGAAACATTTAATCTTCTATTTGTTCCTTATCTTATCATTCTGTTGGATTCTAATCCATATTTGATCCCAATTCACGCACACACACACACACGTTTAAAATTTGTATATTTGTGATGTAAGAGGACTCAGTATCAGAGATAAAGCATTTGTAGATGCAATCTGTGTAGCCATAGAAATCAACATTGCATAGTGATTGTTAGTTTCAGGCCCAATTAGGCTATGCAGTACTTGGTGTGAAACTGATAGTCATTATGCAGTGTTGATTTCTATGTCTCCTACTCTCTTACATTTGCTCAATATATTTTGTAACTATGTTGTTTTTAAAAAACAGTGTTCAATATCAGAGGTAGACCCAAGTGAAGCAATATACTTGGATGTGTGACTGCTTGGGAATATCAAGTAAACTTGGATGTATGTGTGATGTAATGGATAACAGCTTGAAATTGTTAATTGGACAGCGAAGTTCTAATTCCTGTTGGGTTCATTATATTTACTTATGTGCAGTAACTATGGAAAGGTTATGAATCTATCACTTCTCTCCCCAGCTATGGGTTAATTAGTAAGATATATCACTAAACCATTATTATCTCAAAAAAAAAAAATCTTACACTTTAGAAATATTTTCTCACTTCAAATAACTTGCAATAGGTTGATAAGCTGTAGAAAACAAATCACTCATTCAATTTATTTTCCAGTATTCAATATTTATTCAGACTCCATCTGCAGTTTTTTGAAGAGGAGTAGAGGTTTATTCCTTGTTTCCTGCTTATGTCTAAGTTTCTGGTTCATTCTAAAGTTTACTTCAACTCTACTTTTAACACCTCTGACTTGAACTCTGAAATTTTATTCACTCATTAAATTTTGACCTCTTCAAAGCCGTTATCTTTCCTGCATAGACCCAAGAACTTCACTTCTTGCCCTTTCTTACCCTAATGCAATGTCACACGGTAAGCCTCTACCTTGAGTTGATCTTGGGTCTTGTATTGGGTGAACATTAGTAAAAAATAAAAATTACTCTTCGGTTGGACAATCTGCTTCATTATCACCAGAACTATTTTGACTTGAAGGCACACTACAAATCTGTGATTTCTCCTCTTCAACATGGCTTCTAGTTTCTGAGTGTGATTTGTTCTGGTTTAAATAAAATGAACAAGAATGAAAAGCTACTTATGAATCTCTCTTCCCTGTGCAATGATGTGTAAAATACTAGGTCAAACTGGTTTCTGAGATCTAAAATTCCTGCTTTCTTAACAGATCACTCATACAGTGTTTATTTCTATGCTAGGCCTACTGAGGTTATTGGGGCCTTGTATATGTGCTGGTTCTTTCAAATGCTTTATTTTCCAGTGTTGTTCTTTGTTCTGACTTCATTTCCTTTCAGTTGAACAATCTGCTTCATCATCATCAGAACTGTTTTGACTTGAAGGCACACTACAAATCAATATGATTTCTCCTCTTCAGCCTAGCTGCTAGTTTCTGAGTATAGTTTATTCTGAAAGTGAACAAGACTGAAGAACTGCTTGTATTGACCAATGAGCTAGAGGGAAAATATTATGTCTGTAAGGTTCAATTCCTTTTATCAATTCTTGATTAACACTTGAGATATCTCTTCTTTTTCTTCTTTCTCCTTCTTTTAACTCTGGCAATCACAAAGCTTACTCCTAGCTAGCATTCCAAAATCAATATAGCAAAAATAACAAAACCAACACTGAATGCCCCCTTATATAGACATTTGTTACCCACAATGCCCTGGTCTTTTATTTATAAAAACTGTCTCATTTACAGTTTCTCTGATAGTATCAAGGTAAGGGGCACTTCCTTTATTCAAACACTGAGCAAGCCCATTTGTTTCTTGAACACACAGCCAACCTTTACATGGCAGCTATTTTGAGCACACCTTAAAAGCATAAAAAAGTTCATATTAGTCCAAAACTTGAGCATATTTTAAGCATATTTTAGCCCTTCACTACTCTGTCCATATGACCAAGGGTAGACGTTATATGTCTATAACCATGACCTGTTTTCATTACGTTGTCACACACCCTGCAATTTAAGTTCATTTAATTTTATGATAACCCTAATGACTTTTTAGTTGTTTCAGTGTTATGGACTTGGTCTGAATACACTTTGTGAAAATTTTTATACTTTCATATTTATTTTTCTTGAGATTTTTAGTACCTTGCAGGACCAGTTAATGTTTATACTCCTTTATCATATAGCCTGGCGACTTCTTGCCAAGCCTACAGGGAGGGAGGAGGGAACGACAACAGAAGTCTGTATCATTGTCAACACAGGTTCTGTATTAAGTTACGGTCCTTTTTTATTGTCTGCCAACTGGATGCTAGTTTGGCTTTTTTATCTACTGTTACATTCGCACTCTTGCCCTGTATTACTCCTGGCTACCACAGACCCTTACTTCTGGTATTCTTGGCTTTTACTACTTCCAGTATTCTTGGCCTTGCTATTTCTGGCTACCTCAGACCCTTACTTCTGGCATTCTTAGTCTTCACTACATCTGGCTACCTCAGACCCTTATCTTCCAGCATTCCTGGCTTTCATTACTTATCTCAACCTAACTCATTTGGTTGATTGGCATTAATGGACTTAGAACAATCCTGAACTTCTGGCTACATCATGGTTCCTACTTCCTGCATCTCTATCTCAACTTAACTCATTTGGTTGATCAGCATTAATTGACTTGCTTATAACAGACCTGAACTTCTAGCTACACTATATCCCTGCTTCTGACTTTCCTGTCAACCTAACTCACCTGGATTAGGAAATCACTGTATGCATATCATCCAGACTCAAAAAGCTACTCCGTACACTTTGGTTAAAATACTACGGAAGGCTCACCATTGGATTTGACCGGCAAACATGCAATGTCAGCACCGGTCATTTAAATTGAACTTTCTTCTCCTTGGCTATATTGTCCAGACTCCATATAACCTATTCTGTACACCAGTTAAAGTACTACAGGAGGTTCACTATTGGACTTGACCCGCAACTACTACTCACCACCAGCACTTTTGCTGGACATTTGAGCTGAACTTTCAAACTGTAGACTTACATGCCAACTTAACTTACATGGACTCTACTTGTAACATTTAGTCACAGATATAATATCTAGATCTTCTAGCCGATCAGTATTCCTGAATTTACTTAATTCTACCTCTATTACTTGATTCATTGTTTTACTGATGTTCCTTTAAACAAATCACTACTATTATATCCAATGTAAATAAATTTTGTATTAATTTTAAATATCTTTGTTCTCCATTTTTGTTCCACCTGTCAGATTTCACATCTTTAATTTATAAATGTTAGCAGGCCTCCTGTGACTACCTTTATTTGGGCTCACAGACCATTTTATATCCCCCCCCCCCACCAGGGGGTCCACTACAAGCATGAACTGAGGCTCGGATTAGTCCAAAACTTAAGCACATTTTAAGCACAAAGTGATGCTCAGATCTTTTTGTTAGCATAAAGCTTATAAGCATAACAAGGCTCAGTTTAAACCAAAAATTAAGCATATTTTAAGCACAAAGCAAGGCTCAGATGTTATTTATTAATTTAAAGCAGAACATGATTCAAATTAGTCCCAAAATAAAGCTTATAGACTGAGAATACCATTGACAGAGTGTATAATTGACAAAGAAGTTTTAAAAAAAATGGAAACAAAAAGGATGCTTATACTCAGAATCAAAAAGTGTCAATTGAAATTTCTGGGACATATAATGAGGAAGGAGGGCTTGGAGACTTTGACACTCATAGGGACATACTGAAGACAAGAGACAGCAATGGCCCACCTACTTAATGAATTTAGGTGAATAGATAGTAGAACAGGGGAGGGAATAATGGCAAAAGTTAAACTAAGGACTACAAGGGATTGAAAATTGTGGAGAGCCATGATAAATTAAAATTAAAATGTTCTTTCTTTCCAGTTAACTTTGACTTTTAAATGTGGGAAATTTAAAGACCCAAACAGGGTTGTGGCTTGATGAACAAAGTGAGACAATTCAACATTGTACAAACATACTTTATACAAGAAGCACAATACATAAAAAGAAAGAGAATAGAGGATTGCTAAAAACATATTCTTTTAGCGGTTAAAAGTCAAAGCATTGCAGACAAAATCCAACTACATGTTTGAAATAGATGATACACTTACTGAACAGAGTTTATATTCAGTTTGCATTAGCTACATTGTCCTCACATTATTCAGGTTAGCTTGTGCCCAGCATGCCTGTTTTTGAGTGGTTGTGCAACACATGGGTGTAGCCCAAAATTAAGCGCAAAAAAGGATTTAAAGAGCTAACAACAGACGCCAAATAGAACATGGAGCGAATGGACATATTTTAGGATATTCCAGACAGACGCCAAGCCATGTTCTATTTGGCGTCTGTTGTTAGCTCTTTAAGTCCTTTTTTGCGCTTAATTTTGAGCTACGCCCATTATCATCAGTTCAATAGACTCTTCTCATTATCAGCAGGAGCCATCTCACAAAGGGAGATAGCCTATATTTTTTTATAGAAAATTTAAAAATGCAATATCAGTTGTTATCTTTTTAATTCTGTTATTGTTCTCCCTCCTCAATATTTCTTTTATTTTTTCATATTCTTTTACTCAGTAACCTCTTGCGTCTTAGTGGCTTTATTGCCTTTCTCGAGGTGAAATGAAAGGATAATCAGGGTTTTTTTGTTTAATTGTTCAATTTTTGCTAGTCTTGTTTCCATTCACACTCAGTGATTCAGTTCGAAATTCAGGGAAATTCGAAATGAACCATTGGTAGGTTCCTGAAAAGAATTGTGAGCGTAACAAGAATGAGGACCTGAAAAGATAAACAATTTCTGGGATGAGGAGTTATCTCCCCTACCGGTGAATCCGAACACAGTTGTCCCCCGTTAACAAAAATGGAGGGCGAACCTCTTACCCCGGCGATTCCTATTGACTTGACGCAAGATAATGAGTTCGATCTCGATCTTCCGCCGATGACTGGCAACGAATATCTAAGAAGAGTTAGGTAAGAAAGGGATATGTATATTTCCAGTTATTATTTTATATTTAATTTCTCTATTGCATATATACATATATGAATTTTTTTTATTTATTTATGTTTTTTTTTTTTTTTATATTCCTGTTTTTTTTTTATATTCCTGTCCGTCGCTGAGGTTGTTTAAATTAAACTAAAAAAAAAGACAGTCTTGTTAGCTTTGTCAACTTATTCGGAAAGAAATGATTCTAACAAATTGTAAGATCATAACTCGTGTTTTATTAAAAGATAAAATAAAAAAATAGTTATTTTTTTAAAATTGTTGACAAAACGAGTACAATTGATAAAAATAAACTTTATTTTAAATTATAATAAATTAAAAAGCAATCAAATTTTTTTTTAATTAAAATAAAATGTATTTTTAATCTTTATTTTAGATTATTATTATTATATTGTGCAACAATACATCAACCACGTTTTCAAAAAATGCTCGATTGAAAAAGAAAGTGACTACAAACAAAAAATCAGTTTTTAAAATAAAAAGATGAAATTAAAATAATGATACAAATAAATACAGTTCAAGTTAAAAAAATTGGTTAAACTAAAATAATTATTTTTGTAAGAAAAAATGTTTTTGAATGGAAAATACACTTTTGTGGGCGTGGGGGTAGGGTAGGTTGATTTTTCAACTTTTTTTTTGGAATATCAAAAAGTAAAAAAAGTAGCAACCGGAGAAAAGTTGGGTATTAAAGTACTTACACCAAAAAGTAGATTTTTAAATTGCACCAATTTTTGAATATTTATTTTAAAAGATCGCTTAGAAGCACCAGAAAATCCTTGTTTTTGATACATTTTTGCTTAAAAAAATCTCTAATTTAAATCCAGAAAAGTTTGTCAATATTTTATTCAAATCAAAAGTAGCAATCAAATTGAAATTATAAACCTCCACCCCAACAGCTCAGATAAGCTGCATTTTACCTTGTTAATTGAGATACGTCAGTAATAGCATTGCAAAATACTGAAACGTTTTTTTTTATGTTATCAATGAAACAAAAAAGCAAACAAGTATGAACTCTGCTAGGAACAAATTAAGGGATGATGATTTTAATATAAGCTACCATTGTAATCAGAACAATCACCTTCATGAGATTTGTTCACTTAAATCTAAATAATTTCACTTCTCTCCTACCGTAGAATAAATTATCCTCACATAAGCTGTCAATACATCTTGAAATTGTCATTGATCACCTGTCAAGTGACGTGAAATGTTATGATCTGCTTTGTTTTATTTTCAAAATACATCTTTTCAGTGCAGAAACTAAGTAATGCTTGTTTCAAAATATTTTAAATAAACATTATAGTTTCTGATTTTCTTAAAATAAGTTTTGAAAAAATTATAATTGATTTTTAAAAGAATTTCAAACAGATTTTCATATTTTTCTTTTATAAAATAGAAAAAAAAATGGTTGACATGATTATATGTCAATTTTGCTGACTCAAAAATAAACAAGATTTTTAACAAAAATTTTGGATGTGCTACGAACTTTTAAAAAATGTAAAAAAATACCCAAAAAATACTTTGATCTTTCCTCTTAATAATGACATAAATATTTGGATGATAAAGTTTTGTTTTTGTCAAGTTTGGCGTCTTTTTTGTCATGCTATGCTCTTTCTTAGCGATCTCATGGAGGAACCTATCTAAAAATCTATTGGTTACTAATAGTGAGTCTTTTAAGTTTCTATTTTATATAATAATTGTAAGGCATAAAGTTATAAAAGATATGACAAAAATACATGAATGTTGTGAGAATAGCAGTTTTTATTATTAAACTGCTCTACATAAGAGCACTTTGAAGCAAAGGAAGGCCTCATTTAATGGCATAAAACTTTTATAATGATGTGCCTATGCCTTGCTTCAATTCCATAGACTGATTGGGAAGGTGCAGTTGTTAATTTTACTGTCCTTTCAACACTTTGTGAGATTGAAGGCAATTCAGGCAACACTAATTTTGTCCCACTCATTGATGACTCAGAAAATTCTTCTGTGAATCCAGGCTCACAAACTCCATTATGGGACAGGTCGATCAATTGCGACCAATGTGTTGCATCAAAATTTATCTTGGATATTTTTTAGCCACTTGTTTGTTGGCTCCCCACCCTTGAAAAAAATCAATTAAATTAAAATAAAAATTTAACTTTACTTGTCTTAATTTTTATACCGAAATTAGAATAGTACTTTAAAATGAAACTATAAATCAATGAAATCATTTTAATCAATATTATGTGAATTACTTACCTAATGGCTAAAATTCTTTTTCTAATTTCTTCCCTCATTTCCAGTTCATCTGATTTCAGTATTGCATGCAACATATTTTCTGGTAGGAGACCAAAAGTATTATGCTGAACATTTTTGAATGTAATCTCCTGAATTTCAGGTGGTAGTTCTTTAATTCTTTGCAACATATTGAAAATATACAATTGCTGGTTATGAAATTTATTGTCCCTTTTAATTTCAAACCAGCTAAATGCATACACTCTAACAATAAACTGGATCCGGCTGTGTAGTTTTGAAAATACATTTTTAGGGTAAATGCCTCGAGTCCACAAACATATGGCTAACAACCATCTTGCTTGATTTAAGGGCCCAATTTTCCATGTAGCATATCTAGGGTAGACTTTCCCCTCATGAAATCCCTACTGCATATTCTAAAAGAAGTATCTGATTACTACTCAGATCAATTGTCTGTTTGATGCTTAAATATTGGCTATCTAGAGGACTAACTATGGGTACAAATTTGACCTGGAGCAAATTATGATAGCCATTTGCACACAATTTCCCAAGTGGACCAATAAATAATGTCAGACTTCTTGTGCTGCCATCAATGTGCTTAAAAACAGCTCTGAATGGAAGCTCATTTTGATGTAGAGAGCAACCAATGGTGTGTAATTTTTTTTATTATTTGTTTCTGTAGAACTGTAACTAGCCCAACTTCACATCCAGTATTTGTATGGGTGTTGTCAGTAAAACAGTCTTTATGGTATCAACGCTGTTATACTCCTCCAAAACACTAGCAACCTCTTGCTCCTGTAACAGCGATAACTCTATGAGTGAGGTATTTTCCACTTTCACCACAACCCATCTCTTTTGTGAATGTCAAATGGCATTCTGCTCCCTTTGTTTTCTTTAAGTGTTTCCTTCCATCTGCCTCCACAATCTCTTTATATAACTAAGTATCTTTATCATGTCTTCCATCAACACCAGTATAAATAATTTTTTCTATTTCATCAATGTGTTTTTGATAGGCATGTTGTTTTGTTCTTTCTTTAGCACAGTCTATTTTATATTTATCCAAAATTATGTTTTTGATATTAACACTCGGGTTGAGAAGGCCCATAGCCTACAAATCTAAAAGAAAGGCATTTGCAAGGCTTTCTCCTAAGTTTGTTGAAACTTCACCCCTGATCAACTCAGTAGTATACCAAGGATTTTTTAAAAGACTCTAAACACTCTTGGAATGTCTGGCAGGCTCATACTCTTCATATATTTCATCATTATTTGATGACTGGGAAAGAATAACACCCTGATCATAATGTGGAGGCAATAAGAGATGAATGAACTTGTTTTTGTCTTTCTTCTTCCACTACACTCCTTTTGGGTTTCTGAATGGCAGCTTTATCCACAGGTACAAGTTGGAAAGTACCCTTGGGTCCTATTTTGGCCCTCTCGTCTTTTAAATATTCTCTGTCTTCCACTGCTACCTGAAATATTAATTTTCAGGTATGTTGAAAGAATACATCTAACCAACAGATATCTCAAAATATTATTAAAATATTATTTCATATAGAAAGAAAAATAGTACAAGTTTCTTTTCTAACTTGTTTACATAAAATATAATTATAAACATCCATTTAAATTAAAATATTTATGATATTGGGATTTAAATTCATTTAAAAAAGGAAAAAATAGAAAAATAACTTTACCCTATCTTTGAGATAACAAGTTACAGACTATGTGCCTTGTCTGACAATTTTCTTTTTTGCACTTCACATTTTTGTCTTCACAAGAAGGAATGTCAAACAATGTATCCAACATTTTTGCCATTATTTTCTTTTGCACTATTGCACTCTTCTCTGATGCGCTTTCTTGAAGCCGGTCTTTTTCAATATTTACATACTTTTTGGTTAACAGAGGCAAACAGGGATTAACTGCCTTCCAAAAATCAATTATATTCTTTGCCATTAATTTTGAAATAGCAAAGTTTGTAAAGTTTGAACAAGTATTTTTTTTTAGAAAATAATGATATTGGATGACTTGTCGAAAGTTAAGTTGCTCAAATAGACTTAATTATTTTTGTGTTTTAAATCAGCTCAATGAATTTGAAACAAAAATAACCGCCTAAAATAAGTTTGAATTTGTTTATAGTTTATAAAATCTTAAATGAAATATTTTTGTAGTGTTTGCTTTTTAATTTACTTTTCTTTAATTTACCCAGAACTGCACGATTTTGAATAAAATAAAACATATTAATTACTAAGGTTATTGTCTACATTTCTTTCTCCAAAACCCTGCTTTAATCTGACCTACTTATCTTTTTGGTTAACACTGGGCGAAATTCAGAATATTCGATTATATTACTATTTAAATGCATTTGCGCAAAAATTGGTAAAACTTTTACAAAAAAATATTTTGTGCAGTTATTCTTTCTGGGTAGAGTTAGTTGTGGTTTCAAAATCGACCTACCCTTGTGGGGGTTCAATACAGTTTTACACTTTTTTACTGTATAAAGTTTGTGAAACTGGACCCTTACTTTGTGTTCATAAAAATAAAATAACATTTCTGTTTTCGTCTAGTCTAAATTTTTAAAGCATAGAAACCAAAAAAAGGAAAAAGATAAAGTTGCATTTTTTGTCTTTGCAATTAGCTCAATTTGTTAATGTTACGACATGTCAAACCCAAACCAGTGAATAAAATATAAAAATAAAGCTTTTTCTTCTCCTTAGCTTTCCTTACAATAACCAAACCACAGATTTCCAGAAAGGCGGATACAAAATCAGGTTCCAGTTTAGCAGTGTATTTAGATTTTGAACATTGATGTCATAAATATCG